GACCAGTAATATTTGGGGTCACAAGTTTTTGCCATGAAATTTTTGTGGGTCAGAAGATAAAAAGTTTGGGAACCACTGCTATAGAGCATGCTATCAGTGCTCATTCAAGTGTCCAACTTTGAAACACCTACTAGATTTTATAGTTTGCATCCCATCATGTTTTTTCAGCAGTTGGATACAGACTTATTTAAGTAAAATGAGCTTATTTGGCTCCAGTTAAAGAGAATAGAGAAGAAAGCTGTCCTGATGTTGGAGCACCATCTCCTGGATGTAAAACAAATGACACAAGGATCTGAGTTCAGCTGTTTGTCCCACATAGAGACACCAGACAAACCATGGGGACATTTTGTTCAGTCTCCTCTTCAGTGCCTTCACAGCAGTCATTTAAATTAAAGCAGTTTTATTCCTAAAGCACATTTAAAACAACCATGACCAGTGTCTCTTTAAACCTTTTTATTCAGGCAGGCTTTCATTCTGTAGCATTGATGTAGTGATTCAATAATCCTACAGAAGCTTCGTTCAAACCAGGTGTGTTGGAGCAGAAGAACGTGAAACATGCAGGATAGTGACTCTTGGGGACCAGGATTAACAAATAGTACAATGTTTATTTTTTCTTGACTTCAGGGTTTCAGATAAACCTGTCTGGAGTGACTCAAAGTAAGAATGGGACTCTTCCACTGAGCACGCTGACCTCTGCTGTCTGTGGGACGTGTCAGTAGTCTAACGTGGTTTCCTTCATGTTAACCTGCTGCTGCTCACTGACTGATCAGTGTTGATCTCTTTATTTGGAGTGGGTAAAAGGGACCACTGTAAACTACTGCTGGAGCCTGTGTGGTGTTCCTGGTAGCTGGGGGGTCTGTTCACTGCTTTACCTGTCCCTCATGTCTCCAGGGTTAAAGGTTACAGGATGTGTCTGCACTGTGGACATGGTTGGTTCAGACACGGCAAAGATGTAACACTTAATGCCAGCACCTTCGGTYATACTTTACCCTTCTGCTGTACGTGGGTCAAAACGACTGTCAAAGCCTCCGTTTGATACAAGGACAGCAGGAGGGTTAAAACCAAAATCTGTTTTCAATCAGACTGAATTTATCTAATCGTCTGAGTGGAATTTAAATAAATTCTGTCTTAAATCTGATCCAGGTGCTATCTGAGTGCTAACAACACTTTGGTGTCTGAACAGAACTGTTTGAGTTGGTTCTGATCAGGGATTTCCAGTGTTTCATAATCAATCACACACATCATGCATGTCTTTTATTTTGAAAGTGTAGTCACTAGCTGTGTTTCCATTACAAATGTGCGCAAAACTTTGTCGATATTCTGCTAATGTCGAAAAAAACACAGTTTCACAACTGCAGTGT